CCATTGATAAAATAAGTCCCACGTCAAAAAAGTATGCGTAGGCAACAAGAACATTTTCCCTTAGCTATGTTGGACTGTGCAGGGGCTCAATTCTCAGCCCCCCCCAAAGAGGGTTTGTTTGACCTGGTTGGTTTTTTTATGGGGCTGCAGAAAGAGACCAGATGGACCAGGTGTGTGAGTGAGTGAGTGAGTGTGTGTGTGTGTGTGTGTGTGTGTTCCAGGTCACCCTTGATTTACCACCCTTCGTTTAGCGGCCGTTGGCCGTTACAGCTACACGGAACAAATGTGACTTAGGACCGTGTTTCACACTTATGACTGCTGCAGCGTGCCACAGTCAGGTGATCAAAAGTCACGCAAGAGGCGAACGCAAAGACTGTAGCCCCAGGTGTGTGTGTGTGTGTGTGTCTGTGTGTCTGTGTTTTTTGGGGGGGAGGCGGGGAAAGTTGAGACAGATGCATCTGCTAGCATGACATAGCAAAGTATTTGGGCTGCTGATAAGCTGAGGCTCCAAAAACGGATGTCCTGTGCCCCTGTTCTAGAGGGATAAGGACCCCTGAGCCAGTCGCTAAACCCACTTCCCTTTGTGGTTTCGGGTTCTTCACCCCCATAAGTTCCATCGGGCTGTTTTCTGAGCTCCCAACCTAGAGGAACTTCCGCCAAGGGGAGCCTTTCCAGTTCTGAAGGCCCAACCGTGGCAAGATGTTGCCCACCTGTGCCCATTGTGGAGTGGGGAGTGACAAATTACGTTTCTTTTTAGAGATTAGATAGCCATTTGTCTGAAATGGTACAGGGTTACCTGCCTAAGCAGAGGGGAAGGGGGGGGTTGGACTAGAAGACCTCCAAGGTCCCTTCCAACTCTGTTATTATTCTAATTCTTAAATACTCAGTGCTGATTTTGGTAGGCCGGATTCTGCTTCCCTCAAATCTCCAAGGTGGAGGGGCTTCGCTCAACCCCTGTAGATCTGGGGAACTGGCTTTGTAGATCCGATGCTATAACAGAAGAATAACAGAGGGACAGGAGTTGGAAGGGGTCTTAGAGATCTTCTAGTCCAACCCCCAACGGCTGGAATCCGAGAGAGAAATAGGCCTACAATGGTTCATACCTGCCACAGCACCTGCGGTTCGTACCTGTGTCCCTAGTGAGTTTATATTGAAGTAAGGATAGGGGGTGTACCCGAAAAGGAAGAGCTTTTAAGAAATGTCACTTAAAGCAGTGTTTCTCAGCCTTGGCACCTTGAAGATATGTGGACTTCGACTCCCAGAATTCCCCAGGGAGCATGCTTTAAGATGCATGGACTTCAATTCCCAGAATTCCCCAGAATAAATGCTTTAGGTTGGGTGGACTTCGACTCCCAGAATTCCCCAGGCAGCATGCTTTAAGATGCATGGACTTCAATTCCCAGAATTCCCCAGAATAAGTGCTTTAGGTTGGATGGACTGCAACTCCCAGAATTCCCAAGCCAGCGTGCTTTAAGGTTAAATGCAAGATCTTTCTTTTAGAAGTCCTTTTTTAAGGACCTGATCAACATCTTCCCATTTCGCAGCGAGGAAAACTGAGGTCAGCAGAGAACCGGCTTCGTTCGCCCTCTAATTTTCGGGACGCGAGTCGGCAGGGCGAACCTGTTCCTCCTTGTTTTATTTCTGGCCTTTGTCATGTTGGAAAGTCCCCAAATAGTTTGGGAATTTCCTCCAGCTGATAAGGCTCCCAACACCCCTTATCTGGCTTTGTGCAGCTGTAAAACATCAGCCTGTAAAATTCTTTTTTATTTTTCTGAAGAAATTGCGGTCACTCTACCCCCCCAATCCCCACCCCCCGCCCTGGCCGTGTCATCTGGAAACAATGACAAAAGGATGACCACATCCATTGAAGAGGGGAAGTGGGCTGTTTTCTGGGGGCCATTTTCCCTGTCTAACCACTGAGAGGGAAGTGGTCCATAGTGATGAGGAGAGGTGATGAGGAGAAGGAGAGGGGAAGCCAATTTTCCTGCTTCTCATCCCCCACCCCACCCCAAGGACTTCTGTGCTTTAGGGCAGGGGTCTCCAACTTTGGCAACTTTAAGGCTTGTGGACTTCAACTCCCAGAGTTCCTCAGCCAGCTTTGCTGGCTGAGGGATTCTGGGAGTTGAAGGCCACAAGCCTCACTGGCTGAGGAACTCTGGGAGTTGAAGTCCATAAGCTTTGCTGGCTGAGGGATTCTGGGAGTTGAAGGCCACAAGCCTCACTGGCTGAGGAACTCTGGGAGCTGAAGTCCATAAGCTTTGCTGGCTGAGGGATTCTGGGAGTTGAAGTCCATAAACTTTGCTGGCTGAGGGATTCTGGGAGTTGAGGGCCGCAAGCTTCACTGGCTGAGGAACTCTGGGAGTTGAAGTCCATAAGCCTCACTGGCTGAGGAACTCTGGGAGTTGAAGTCCATAAGCTTCACTGACTGAGGGATTCTGGGAGTTGAAGTCCATAAACTTTGCTGGCTGAGGGATTCTGGGAGTTGA